GGACTTCCAGTATTATATTGAAAAGCAGTGGTGAGAGTGGACATCCTTGTCTTGTTCCAGATCTTAATGGAATTGCTTTCAGCTTTTCACCATTGGCTGTTGGCTTGTCATAGATGGCCTTTATGATGTTGAGGTATGTTCCTTGTATCCCAAGAATTTCAAGGGCTTTTATCATGAATGGGTGTTGCACTTTGTCGAAAGCTTTCTCAGCAACTATTGATATTATCATATGGTTTTTATATTTCTTTTTGTTGATGTGTTGGATAACGTTGATTGATTTTCAGATGTTAAACCATCCTTGTGCCCCTGGAATGAATCCAACTTGGTCGTGGTGAATTATCTTATGGATACATTGTTGGATTCTGATAGCTAAAATTTTATTGAGGATTTTTGCATCAGTGTTCATTAGGGAGATTGGCCTATAGTTTTCCTTTTTTGTGTTGTCCTTATTCGGTTTTGGTATTAGTGTAATGTTGGCTTCATAGAACGTGTTTGGTATTGTCCCTTCCTTCTCAATTTTTTGGAAGAGTTTGTGAAGGATAGGCACTAATTCGTCTCTGAATGTTTGGTAGAATTCATTTGTAAATCCATCAGGTCCTGGGCTTTTGTTTTTGGGGAGGTTTTTGATTACCATTTCAATTTCGCTGCTTGTAATTGGTCTGTTTAGGTGTTCTATTTCTTCTTTATCTAGCTTTGGGTGATTGTAGAGTTGTAGGAATTTGCCCATCTCCTCTAGATTGTTGAACTTGTTTCCATATAACTCTTCATAGTAGTTACTGATTATTCTTTTGATTTCTGCTGTGTCCGTTGTGATTTCTCCTCTTTCATTTATGATCCTGTGTATTTGTGCTTTCTCCCTTTTTTCCTTTGTGAGCCTGGCTAGGGGTTTGTCTATTTTATTTATTTTTTCAAAGAACCAGCTCTTGGTTTCATTGATCTTTTGGATTGTTTTTTTAGTTTCAATTTCATTTATTTCTGCTTTGGTTTTTATTATTTCTTTTCTTCTACTGGTTTGGGGTTTTTTGTTGTTCTTTTTCTAGATCTTTGAGCTTCGAGATTAGGTTGTTTCTTTGAGTTCTTTCTTGTTTCTTGATGTGAGCTTCTATTGCTATATATTTTCCTCTTATTACTGCTTTTGCTGCATCCCATACATTTAGGATATTGGTGTCCTCCTTGTCATTCAATTCAAAGAATTTTTTAATTTCTTCTTTGATCTCCTCGTTAGTCCAGTGGTCTTCCAGTAGTGTGGCTTTTAATCTCCATGAGGTTTGATAGTTCCTTGCCTTCTTTTTATGATTTATTTCTAGTTTGATGCCTTCGTGGTCAGAAAAGATGGTTGGTATGATTTCAATCTTGGTGTATCTGTTGATGTTTGTCTTGTGCCCCAGTATGTGATCGATCCTGGAGAATGATCCGTGTGCGCTTGAGAAAAATGTGTACTCCGTTTTTTTTGGGTTTAGTGTTCTATAGATGTCTGTTAAGCCCAAATGCTCTAGGTCCTTATTTAGAGCTTTAGTTTCTTTACTTATTTTTTGTCTTGTTGATCTATCCATTGTTGTTAGTGGTGTGTTGAAGTCTCCCACTACGTATGTGTTTTCTCTGATGTCTGTTTTCAGAGAGGACAACAGTTGTCTTATATATTTTGGTGCTCTTTCGTTTGGTGAGTATATGTTAATGAGTGTTATTTCTTCTTGAAGTATTGTCCCCTTAATCATAATGTAGTGACCATTGGGGTCTCTTTTTATTTTTTTGAGTTTGAAGTCTGTTTTATCTGATATAAATATAGCTGTTCCTGCTTTCTTTTTTGGCCCATTTGCTTGTAGGATTGTTTTCCATCCTTTGACTTTGAGCCTATTTTTATCTTTTGTAGCTAAATGTGTTTCCTGGAGACAGCAAAAGGTTGGGTTTTGTTTCTTAATCCAGGCTGCAACTCTGTGTCTTTTTATTGAAGAGTTTAGTCCATTTACATTTAGAGTTAATATTGATATGTTAGCATCTGTATTTGCCATTATGTTTGTCTTTCCTTTGATTTTATTTATTCTTTTAATAACTTTTTTTTTTTTTTTTGGTCTTCTTTCGTTGTTATTCGTCCCTCTGAGGTTCTGGCTTTAGGATTCCTTGTAGTATTTTTTGGAGTGGGGGTTTATTCGTAATGAAATTCCGGAGTTTCTCTTTGTCTGGGAAGGTCCATATTCTTTCTTCATGGAGGAAAGAGAGCTTTGCGGGATAGAGTATTCTTGGTTGGCATCTGTTTTCTTGGAGTCTGTTGACTATGTCCCTCCACTCTCTCCTTGCCCGTAGTGTTTCTTCAGAGAAGTCTGATGTCAGCCTGATTGGTTTTCCTTTGAATGTTATCTGTTTCTTCCCTCTTGCCAGCTTCATTATTTTTTCCTTGTCCTGGATTCTTGGGAGCTTTACTATTATGTGTCTTGTTGTGTTTTTCCTTTCGTCGTGGAAGTTTGGTGTTCTTCTTGCTTCTTGTATATCAATTTTCAGCTCCTTCTTCGCATTTGGGAAGTTCTCTTCAATTATCTCCTGGAATATTTTCTCTGTTCCTACATCTCTCTCCTCTCCTTCTGGAATTCCTATAACTCTTATATTTCCTTTCCTCATGGAGTCAGATAGTTCCCGAAGTCTTTCTTCGTTCTTTTTCCTTCGTACTTCTCTTTCCTTTTCTGTTTTGGTTCTTTTTATTTCTGTGTCTTCAAGATTACTTATTCGTTCTTCCATTTCATGTATTCTGCTTTCCTTGCTTTTCCCGGAGTTCTTTAGTTCCTCCATTAATTCTTTGATCTCCTGCATTTCTTTTACTTCCCTCTTTAGGGACTCAATTTCATTCTTCTGACCATTGTTTTCCCTCTTTAGGGACTCAATTTCCTTCTTCTGATCTATCACTTTTTTAATCATGGCAATTTTAAATTCTCTTTCTGGAAGGCTCAGAAGTTCTTCCAAGTTGCTGTCGTTGCAATCTGGGGAGTGGTTTTCTTTTTGTGGTGTTCTTCTTTCCTGAGGAGTTGTTAGGTTGCGTGTGGTTCTTCTACTCCCTACTGTCTGTTTTCTAATTTGTCGTATGCGTTGGGACACTGTGTTGCTCGGACTGACTGACATCTTGGGTGAACTTCTCCGCTCCCCTCTGGCTCTTCCAGGAGCCATCTCTGTCTTCTGGGGGAGCTTTCTGCTGGTTTTAGGCAGTTTTTACTGAAGAAATGTTCCTGTTCTCAAATAGCGAAGCAGGATGCAGTCCCTGCGCCTCCGGTTTCAGGCACACTCTTCTGCGCACCCGGTCTGCCCCGGACGTGGGTGCCTGCTCTAAGGCATACTTTAAAAACTATCCATATAAATGGATAATTTACAACCCCATAATAATAAATAAATAATTTACAACCCCATCAAATAATCCACAATTGAGTATGATTCCAATCATTATTCCAATAGAGATTCTGAAGGAAATGAACAAGGTATTAACAGAAATTTGTGTGGGAAGGACAAAGGTCAAAAATAACCTAAAACCCATGAGGAAATATGAGTGGAGGATTCACCATAATGATAATCAAAACTCATTATAGAAGTTTAGTAACATAGACAATCAATTGAGATAAACATGGGTAGATAAACCAAACAAATTAAAAAGAGAATAGAAAAGGAGATCCACACAAATATGGAAGCCTCCTATGTAACAGAGATAGCACAAAATATTAATATTTAAGTACAATAAAATAATATTGTAACAATTTGCCTTCTCTATGGGGGGAAATGTAATTGGATCCCATTTCACAACATACATATTAATATCACATTATGATTCATGTCTAGCAATGAAATATGCCTTCCTAAAATTCTAGAAATACTTTGACTTCCAACCTTGTAAATAAAAGATAGAATAAGAAAAGAAATCAATTTTGGATAATTAGACATAATTTTATCTGAAAGTATCATGTAAATATGAAAAACAAAATATTTTTTTAACTTCAAGGCAGGAACAATTCTTTAAAGAGATGTCGAAAACCACAAAATTGGATGGAAAATGTTAATAACTTTTACTACATTAAAATGGAAGACTCTGTGCATCAGAATTTACTCTAAAGAAATGAAAGAGTGGGTGAAAATATTTTTATATGTAATTTAACATAATTAGTACATAACATAAAAGAAATTCTTACAAATCTATAAAAAATAACAATCACACACGGAAAAAATCAGGAGCAAATTTTTCATGCAAAAGGAAATACAAATGATACCCCCAAAAGCCATTAACATATACTCATCAAATAATTATGAATCAATTTTAAAAATTATACAATTAAAGAGATTGATAGGAGAAAATGGCGAAAGAAAATGTAGTTATATCTAGATAGGAATACAAATTGGTACATGAATACCTAGCTTACTGCCTTTTACTATACTATTATTTATTTTTATCATTTATTTTCATTTTTTACTATTATTTCCTTTTACTATGGTATATGACATGTGGTTGAAGAGAAAGCAGGAAAGATTAGTCAGAACGGAAGTTCTTAGTGATCCCAAGCATGAGAGGACTCGATCCTTTATTCCTAGTTTCAGGATGAAGGGAGCCGCTAGCCAGAAGATGCAGGCAGCTTCTAAAACCTACTATTGATCCCAAGACTAATGGCTACCAAGAACACCAGGAATTCAGTTCTAAAACCACAGGGATTGAATCTTGCCAAAACTGAATGAATCTGAAAGCACATTCATCCTGGAGTCCCCAGAAAGAAATGCAGGACTGCTAACACCCTAATTCTGTTCTTGAAAGACCTAGAGCAGAGGAATGCACTGAGCCATGACCCAAAGAAACTTTGAGATAATAAACAGGTGCTATTTGAAGCTGCTAAACTTGTGGTAATTTGTTATGCAGTAATAGAAAGCCAATATAGACAGAATATATGCTAACAATATTCAGTTGTTAACAGAATACATTTTAATAGTTATGGTTCAAAGTTAAAATCAGTATTTAATAAATTTTTAATATGAAAACTCACCGTTTTTGTTAAAGCATATAATTCATTTGTTGATATCTCTGTTTCCTTCAAAATTTCAGTCATTGTATCTTCATGCTCCTCAACAGTAGTATTAAGGTCTGATAACGATTTATATAAGTTAGTTTGTACAATGTTTATATTATCAATCTCTTTCCTAAGAGAAAAACAAAGTTGATTTTTTTCCACATTGAACAAAAAAAAAAATTTAAGATATTTAAATTAGCTTCTGACTTAACAATGTGAATCAGTGGAATTTATCTATTACTAAAATTTCACCCATCTCAAAGCAACTCCTGAAAAGTACCACACGATTAAAAAAATAACAGACTGGCAAATTTTTTGAAACCTATGAAAGACTTCATTTATATACAATAAAATCCTACAAACCAATATGAAATAGAAAACAATTAACCAATAGATAAATGAGGAGAGAAGATAAACAAAAATTCACAAAGAAATAAATGTCAGTGACCAATAAATACATGTTGTGGTTATTGAATTGACCCAGGTTCTCATGCACTAAATCCAAATGAAACTGAAAGATACCACCTTACCCCAGATACCAAAATAAAGGGAACCCTTCCTGTGCTATTGGTGAGGATGTAAATTGGTGCAGCTACTATAGAGAAACAGTATGGTGATTTCTCAAAAAATTAAGAATAGAAAATATCATATAATGAAGCAATTCTTCTGGGTATTTAACTGAAGAATATGACAACACTCATTCAAAAAGATATATGTACCTCTACATTCATTGTAGCATTATTCACAATAGCCAAGGAATGGAAACAATCTACGAGCTCACCAACTGATGAATGGATAAACACACATAATGAAATACTTAAAAGATGAAATATTATTTGCAACAAAGAGAAATAAGTGAGGTGGAGAAAGACAAATACTTTATCATCTCACTCTTATGTGGAAGATTAAAAAAAAAAAAGCAAACCAAACAAAAACAAGCCCTTAGATTCTGAAAATAAAATGATGATTCCCAGAGTGGGAGGAGTGTGGGGGTCAGATAAATCAGGAAAAGGGGGAAAAATGTATGGTCTTGGATAGAACTTCGGCTTTGGTGTGCTCATAAAGAATGAAGCAAATGAAGCAAAAACAGATGGAATTAAAAAAATGTAGATGTAGCTAGTTATACCATCATATTTTTTCCACATTTTCTTCAAAATTGACAGAAAAAAAGCAGTGAGATCAGAAATGATAAGGAACAGTACTTCTCAAACATCACCTTGGGATTTTTTGTTGTTGTTGTTAATTGCATAGGGTCTGAATGGACCCTAATATTCTGCATTTTGAATAAGAACCCAGGTAATGCTGATTTGGTCTACAGACCACACTTGAAATAGCAAGGATATACAAAGATTTATTTCCATAATTAGTAAACTTGACCTGAAACGCTAAAGTACTATACATTCAATAAGCAAAGTGCACAAGAAATATTTTCACTTACACAAAGAATAGTCACAAAAATAACCCCACAAAAGTTCACATCACAGAAGCAAATATTAAGACTCAACAATTTTATGCAAGAACCGGGTACAGACCAGATGCATGGGAGGGTGAGAATATTCACCAGAGATGGAGCAGGGAACAGAATAGGCAGACTGACAAAATACACTACTGAAGGGAGCAGCGGGCGAGACAGGAGAGGTCTGCTGCACCATGTGGGATTCTCGCCGGCGGGCTGGGATCAAACCCGTGCTGCAGAGGCTGCGGACAGCTTCACAGTGAGGCGCTCAACCACCTGCGCCACCAGGGAGGCTCTCAACAATTTTAAATGGGTAGAAATTGCATAATATTCTCTAATCAAAATACAATTCAGTTGGAAAGCAAAAATAAAAAAGGTATTTGAAAAATTAGAAATTCATAATAGAAATTTAAAAATATATATTTGAAGCCAAATAGAAGAATTAGAATTATAATAAAATATAAGTACATCAGAGAAATAATTAAAAACATTAGGATGCAAAATACAATTAGTCAATTTATAAATTAAAATATCAGATTTTATTGGAAAGAAAATAATGCAAGAGAAATTAGTTAGATGCCATTCATAGTGCATGGTTATAAAATTTGTTTTTAATAATACCCTACGCAGTATATTTTTTTGGAAGTAATTTTGCACACATCATAAATATTTATTATGCCATAGACAACTTGACAATATGTACCAGCTTTATAATGACAAAAAAGTGGTGTTTTAGGAATTTATAAACATGTATTTATATGTAAAAGATAAAAACTTTGGCTTTCCATATAAACTTAAATATGGATAATTAAGATTGGGTAATTAAGATTCTTTCTTTTTATCTGATTTATTACAGGAATGTATATTACATTCTAAATTAACCTTTTACTTCTAAATAATATAAGTAACACTTATGGAACAGTGTCTTACTTGTAGGCTTCTATTTTTATTTTATCATAAGAAATATCTTTTTCCATTTCTTCTTTAATTCGTTGAGCTTTCAATTTGACATTTCCATAGTGTTCTATGGCTCTTTCAAGTTCTTCATGAACTTGTCTATATAGTTCCATTACCTAGAAATGAAAAATATTTTTGATAATATATGCACCTAATGACTAATTAGAAGAACCACATAAGAGAAAGATCAGCCAAAGTACTGAAACTTAGTTTTGATTGAGAGAAATTGTCTTTTATAGCTTCTTTTTTTCCTTTATTTAATCAGTAAACATGAATTTAAAAAAGAAAATCATCTGTAATCCTCTCACTCAGGAGTAACCATTATTATCTTAATATGAGGGTCCCAAATATTCCATTTTTTCTATTAACTGTCAAATATTATAAACATTACCCCTCTCCTAATTCTCTACTAAGGAGAAATGGAGATTGTGATGGCCAAGGATGGAACTATAAGTCTGAGTGTCTTGTTGAATAGCTGGAGGAAAGGGAGTAGGAACAGGCAGTGGGGAGCGAGCAGGTCCTTCTCCAGGGAGTAAAGTGGTAGAACAACATGATGCAGTTGTCTCATGGGAAAGCAATAATTTTCATTAATTCTTAGAAAAGCACAATGGCAGCAATGGCTGCAAAGATTGTCCCTTTAGGTACAGAAGTGTGGGGATATGCATTTTAGCAGAGAGAGTCTATAAGTTGTTTTAGATAATATGGCCATATAACTTATTTGCAACAGCCAAGTCATGGAACCAACCTGAATGCCATGGACAGACAGCTGGATAAAGAAACTGTGGGATATATACTCAATATTAGACTGAAAAAATATCCTAGTTACGAGGGGATGTTCAGTATGGTAGTTATTGGCACTGGGACTTTGATGGAGGATGAGTGAAATGTGCATGTGGAGGTGTGGAAATTACTATCAAAGTTAAATAGTTATGTAAATTATTTGTCAACCAATAATATTTGAGAAAATAATAAATAAAGTCAATAAAATTGGCTTGTAGTGAATGGCAAGTGACATTTGGTGGTGGGATTCATGAGAAAATTTAATTTTGGAAACTATACAGAATTGTAAACTAATATTACCTAGTATTTTTTCAGCGATTATATAGATAAGTGGAACAGAAGCATCCAGACATAGACCCATCCATATATAAGGATCAATTTTACTTTTTTAAAGAATGGATTTCCCAGAAAATGTCAACAGACACCACCCACATTGCAATCTAGCTCCCTCATATGTGTATCCAATATTCACTTAGCCATTCCCTTGCTTATAAATATTTAATGAAAGTCTCCCTATACCTGTCATGATGTGCACAAATGTAACTATGCGAACTCCTGCTAAGACATTTAAAAGGAGGGGGGGGCGGAGCAACATGGCGGCGAGGAGATGCTGCGAGTAAGATCTCCCATTAAAAAAAGTTAATAGGGAGGAAAAGCGGCAGGTCCCAGTGAGAACTGGGACACGGAAGATAAACGGGTGACGCCAACAAACTGCCCGAAGAAGAAAGTTGCCATAAAAGAGGACCAGAAGGGAGGGAAGCGCAGAACCCTGCTCCCCTCCCCCGCCCACACAGGCGGCACTCTCCGACCGGCAGAGAGGAGGGAAACAACAAACCAAAACGGCCAACAAGAAAAACGGACGCAGCAAGTGGGACTGTGAGTGGAAAGGAACTATTTCA